AAGTATTTTTTACGAGGCCCCCGAGCTTTTTCCTGTTTCGCGCGCGTCATTATAACCGATAAATAATGTTTATTAAAGAAACATTATGTCACGCGGAATAAATAACACGTCCGGACACCGGTAATGCGCGATAGAATCTTATCGGTGAGCGATCGAGCGTCCCGATAGGAGAATGGCGCGCGAACACCTTTCGAGTCCAACGAACGTGTACGCTTATGGGAGTCCCCTATTATGAGGGTTTTTTTTAACGATTATTTTCAGTTTTTTTTCTTGCAATTTTTGCATTGAACGACGTTCTGGTTTACGAAGTTATGGAGAATCTAAAAATCGAAGCATTTTATTATTGGTATGTTTTAGGTTATGTATTAATTTCAGTACTTTTTTTACCATTTTCTTGCAATTTTAAAAATAGTCGAAGTTCTTGTTTACAGTGGTATGGAGAACCTAAAAATCGAAGTATTTTATAATTGTTACTTTTTAGGTTATGTAACTTACATGGTTTAGATATCTTTGCTTACTGTTTATATCTTATGTGCAATTATATGAATATTATATTATCTATCATGTGTATTCGTCTAAATTAAACCGCGTCGAACACGGCAGCGCCGCCTCGCGGAGGAAATTTGAAATTCGCGCTTCGAACCAACGACGCCATCTTGGAAAAATATGATAATATTTAGATAGATATCATGTTTAACACGTCCATTACAACCATATAATATTCTGTAACACTAAAATTTTGATTTTAGACTATTATTTTCAATACTTTTTTTTCTAACCTTCTTGAAATTCACAAATCTATTTTCAAATATAATCCAAATTCACTAGGTTAACAAAGAACCAACTTTAAATTATGAGATATGTTATTTTATATCGTTATCGAACGTGACGAGTCAAAAGTGACTCCGGCACAGTACTCGGTACCAATTTGTTAATAACTTTTTAACGAAGCCTCCATCAACAAATTGGTATTCTTGATTTTCGTCTTATTTTGGCCTATAGAATCCCCCATTAAAATTTTTCCCAGGGTTGACCGAACGCCCTGTATATTAACCTACCGAGTATTGTGCCAGAGTCATTTTTGACTCGTATAATAAATAACACGATAATCAAAATATTAAAAAAAGACTCCTACACTAGATTTGAAACAAAAATTGAATTCTCCGTTCACTACCTTGCAACAAACATCGAACAACTTTCACTACAAAATTAATTCCATCAAAAATTCAGAAAGCTCTTATATCGAGATGCTCGATCGTTTCAACAAGCGAATGAAACCCTAACAGACTCATGAACTTTGAACCACCCTGTAACGAGAATATAATTCAGTCGAATTTCGTGGGCAATCAACGCGTTAAAAAGAGTTCGACACCTCGCGACGTCGCTCTCGAAGCAAAGCAGAAGAAACGAGGTACGCTTGGGCAATAAATCCGCGCACGGCGTAAATCGGCGCAGTCAATTTTCGAGCTGCCTTTGAGCTCCCTGTAATTTCGAGACGGGGCACTCTGGTCGCTGGAACACGGCTCCCGTGTGCTCGAATCTGCCTAAGCACGAGATCGAAGCAGTGTGATCGAAGCAGCTTCTGTGCTCCGCGATATAATCATCGAGATTTCCGCGCGATTTCGTGGAACATCTGGGCAATTTGCGTGCGAGATGAGAAACCCCGCGGGCCCACGGTCGAGGGACACCGAGCGGATCTTTCGTCGGACACCGACATCATAATCATCGGTCAATCCTTTTCGAGGCGGCGCAAAAACGGCAGAAATCGAGAAACGAAGGGGGCTTCCGGTATTCCTTTTACTCGAACGTATCATTCGAGGCGAGCAACAGTTGCTTAATGCGCACTGATCACCCAACGAATTGTGCCTCGACTTCTTTGTTATTGCAGAGTCTATTTTGGAGAACCCAATGATTTTTTTTCTAAATTTTTTCAACAATCGATGTAATTTCTCTTTAAAAAATTAATGCAACTTGCAACAAGAGTCAAAGTTAAATTAAAATATAAATTAATTGAAAATTATAAACGGAACATTTGATTCAATTGACGTATTGGAAGTGGAGATTAAAATGTTCGAATGACTCGATTTGAATCGAGAAATTTCGGTAGATCCGAGAAAATTCGATAGATACGAGAATATTCGGTAGATCTGAGAAATATCGATAGATACGAGAAACTTTGTTAGATACGAGAAACTTCGACAGATCAGAGAAATTTCGATACATACGAGAAAATTCGGTAGATCCGAGAAAATTCGATAGATACGAGGAATTGGGGCAGATACGAGAAAATTCGGTAGATCTGAGAAATATCGATTGATACGAGAAACTTCGTTAGATACGAGAAACTGCGACAGGTCAGAGAAATTTCGATACATACGAGAAAATTCGATAGATACGAAGAATTGGGGTAGATACGAGAAAATTCAGTAGATCCGAGAAATATCGATAGATACAAGAAACTTCGTTAGATACGAGAAAATTCGATAGATACGAGAAAATTCGGTAGATCCGAGAAAATTCGATAGATACGAGAAATTTTCGAAAAAAAACAATATTAACATCTTATATGGTCCAAGACCATAGACTATGGATATTTATGCATTTATTGGAAATTTAAATTTTCAAAAACCAACAGAATACACTCAATATGCAAATATATAAATACAAATAAGATACGAATTATAATATTTAAGGGTTGAGACAGTCCTCTACAAAGCTCCCATTTCATTAATTCTGTCAATAAAAATATGAATTTACTAAAAAATCCACAGTCTATACCTAAAACCTAGACGTCAATTCTAATTAATTTATACTAGCTCCTTCTAATACCACTTTAATGGTATCCATGTTTAGCTATACATTTAATAAAAAAAAACCACTTTATCAATAGATTAAAGACGTAGAAACTTCTCAAAACAGAGTTTAAAAATAACAAGTATCAAGTATTTGTTTATCTTAACAAATTTTTAGTTGTAATTTCTATCAATAAAATTAATGAAACTTGTAACAAGAGTCTATGAATCCCATGAACCTTCATAAAATTGTCTAATGCGTTCTGATCACCCTAATCGTGCCTCTTCAACTTCTTTCTTATTGCAAACTCTTTTTGGAGAGCCCTTTGATTTTTTTTTTAATTTTTCCAACAATCGTCTACGTAATTTTTATTAATAAAATTAATGAAACTTGCAACAAGAGTCAAAGTTGAATTACCGTGTCTGGGAATCCCATGGACTGTTACAAAATTTACAATATAAATTAAAATTATAAACTAAATTGAAATATAAATTAATTATAAATTATAAATGGAACTTTCGATTCAATTGACGGATTGGAAGTAGAGATAAAAATGTTCGAATGACTCGATTCGAACCGAGAAAATTCGGTAGATCCGAGAAAATTCAATAGATACGAAGAATTGAGGTAGATACGAGAAATTTCGGTAGATCCGAGAAAATTCGATAGATACGAAGAATTGGGGTAGATACGAAAAACTTCGACAGATCAGAGAAATTTCGATACATACGAGAAAATTCGGTAGATCCGAGAAAATTCGATAGATACGAGAAATTTCAGTAGATTCGAACTTTTTGAAAGAAGTGGAGCCAAGACCAAGAATAGACTGTGGATATTTATGCATTTATTGGAAATTTAAATTTTCAAAAACCTACAGAATGCACTCAATGTACGTCAATTCTAACCTAATTTATACTACTTCAATAATTAAAGATAAAATAAGATTAAATATGTAGAAACTTCTCAAAACAGTGTTTAAAAATAACAAGTATCAAGTATTTATTTATCTCAAAAAATTTTGAGTTAAAATTTCCCCTAATAAAATTAATGAATCTTGTTAGAAGAGTCTAGGAATCCCATGAACCTTTATAAAATTGTCTAATACATTCTGATCACCCTAATCGTGCCTCTTCAACTTCCCTTTGTCCTTTGATTTTTTTAAAAATTTTGTCAATAACAATCGACTATATAATTTATTCTAATAAAATTACTGAGACTTCTAACAAGTGTGAAAGTTAAATTTACGTGTCTATGAATCCCATGAACTTTTCTAAAATTGTCTAATACATTCTGATCACCCTAATCGTGCCTCTTCAACTTCCCTTTGCCCTCTAATTTTTTTTTAAATTTTGTCAATAACAATCGACTATATAATTTATTCTAATAAAATTACTGAGACTTCTAACAAGTATCAAAGTTAAATTTACGTGTCTAGGAATCCCATAGAACCGTTATAAAATTAATATAAAACCATAAGACTGCTAGAAAGGCTCAGATCGATGTCGATAAAAAGCGAGCCTCGAAAGATGGAGAGCCACTGCTGGTTAATTTCGAAGCGGAAACGCCGAGGCGATATCGTTATGTAAGCCTCGGCGGCGATTTTAAGATCGTGACTAACTATCATTCAATTTGTTATAAATAATCGTATTCGCAATATCCTCCGGGGTACGTAGTTACACGCGTGAATAAATTTTATTACACATGTAAGAACGACGAGATTATCTATCCGTGCGAGTACGTACAGCCATGGAAAACGCTTACTACACTCGGTTGCACCCGTCACACCAGCTTACCAGTACCGGCAATTGAATTGAAAATCACGCATAATGTCAGAAGACATAATGCAATTAATTGATATACATACTACTAACGCTCGATCGACTAATCTACGACACGGCCGCAAACCTAATTAGCTTAATGAATGCACGATCATTCCTGTCGCGCAGATCTCGATAGGTTTTTTCCGCGATCCGCCAACCGTGGCTGTTTTTCCCGCATAAATTTTCAGCGAGAGATTTAATGCATTGAATAAAACATACGATTTGACGTGCAACGTTTCGACTCTGGAATACGATATAATTTGTTTATTTTTTTTTTTGTAAAATTTGAGGTCAACCTGGCGCTGAGGATTTTGAATTTTGTTTATTTTTTTTGTGTAAAATTTGAGGTCAACCTGGCGCTGAGGATTTTGAATTTTTATTTTACAGGGAGGAACTGGCCATGAAGATTGGACTCACGGAAGCTCGAATACAGGTGAGTCCTGTATCAGGATACTCTTAATTTTAGCTTTTTAGTTACTAGATTTTTTTAGTTACTAGATTTTTATGCATTTATGGTGAATTTTAATTTTTTGGAAGACTATAGGTTCATTTGGGGAATAATTGAGATAGAAATGTTCGAATAATCGGAATCGAACCGAGAAAATTCGGGAGATACGAGAAAATTCGATAGATACGAGAGAATTCGATAGATACGAGAAACTTCGATAGATATGAGAAAATTTGGTAGATACGAGAAAATTCGATAGATAAAAGAAATTTTAATAGATATGAGAAAATTCGTAGATCCGAGAAATTTCGATAGATACGAGAAAATTCGATAGATACGAGAAAATTCGATAGATACGAGAAATTTCAATAGATATGAGAAAATTCAGTAGATACGAGAAATTTCGATAAATACGAGAAAATTCGATAGATATGAGAAAATTCGGTAGATCCGATAAATTTCGGTAGAACCGAGAAATCTCGATAGATCCGAATTTTTCGAAAAATATCGAGCAATTCAGACATTGGCACATTAAATGTCCCAAAAATGCACGTCTCATAATTGAGTAATGAATAAACCGCGAATATTTATGCATTTATTGATCATTTAAACCTTCAGAAAATTACAAAATGAACTCAATACGCAAAAATATATGAAATATTGTATTTACCAGTTTAGACAACCCTTTACACATCTTCCATTTCACGAATTTTACTAACAAAAATATAAATTTGCATAAAAATCGGTAGTCTATCAATAACACGACAAATTTCGATAGATACGAGAAAATTCGATAGATACGAGAAATTTCAATAGATACGAGAAAATTCGGTAGATCCGAGAAATTTCGATAGATACGAGAAATTTCAATAGATATGAGAAAATTCGATAGATACGAGAAAATTCGATAGATACGAGAAATTTCGATAGAACCGAGAAATCTCGATAGATCCGAATTTTTCGAAAAATATCGAGCAATTCAGACATTGGCACATTAAATGTCCCAAAAATGCACGTCTCATAATTGAGTAATGAATAAACCGCGAATATTTATGCATTTATTGGTCATTTAAACCTTCAGAAAATTACAAAATGAACTCAATATGCAAAAATATATGAAATATTGTATTTACCAGTTTAGACAACCCTTTACACATCTTCCATTTCACGAATTTTACTAACAAAAATATAAATTTGCATAAAAATCGGCAGTCTATAAATAACATACAATTAAAGCGAGGCTCGAATAGCTGCAATAACCTACACTCGACTGAAAAAAAAACGGAAACGTTTGATACAGAGCACGAGAGGTAATAACAGGAGCAGAAGTGCGCGAGGTAATTGAGGTACGATTCCCCCAAAGCTCGGATAAAAGGAAACAAGTCGAAGGGGAGACTAGGAGGGTGAATTTTTTTACGGATCACGTGACGATTCTCTGTGCAAGCAAGTGTCCGCGAGAGTTAGTCTCACGAACGTTCGGGGCCAATTTGCTCAATTAGTTTAATTTATTCGCGGTATTTACTCGCTGGTACGCTTTGGTCCCTCGTTCTCCTCTTATTTCGCGACCTTCCCCTATTCCCCCTTCGTTCCTCCACGAGCATCGAGCGCGTGTCTTTCTCGCGCGCGCGCGCGCGTTTCGTTTACATTATACTTGCAAATCCGTCACCATCCGCCGCAAATCGACGATTTATCCGGGCTTTAAAGTTATTATGCGAGCACACGCCATGAGAACCACTGTTTAAGTGAATGACACGGTACCAGGGGGCCCCAACGGAGTCGCGTTAATCATTTTCTGGAATCCCTGAACACGATTCCTGGCGTTCCGGGACCTCTCGCGACGTCCACGCGAGCCTCGTACGAATGTGTTTCTTTTCGGTCACAAAGCTTGTAAATTGTCGTGTGATGTAGCCTAACAGCGGCGTTCATTTTGCAAAACGGTTCGGGGAACAACTATATATTCAATAGGGGGGGACTTTGACGCACGAAGATTTGGGGAACGATGTTGGGTGAGAAATGTTTCGGGATGAAGTGTGTAGAACGCGTTGGGGAAATCACTATTGTGATGTTTTATGGTGATTTCATTCGCTGTTGGTGAGATTTATGGGATTATCGATGTGATATGGTTGTTGGATGGGTGCATCCTCCTTATGGAAATGAGAGAAGTAGATGGTAGGAAGTGAAATTTGTAAATTTGTGATAGTTTTAGGTATTTTCTAGGTTCAATGAGTCTATTAGGCCTAGAAAATCACTAGGCAGATTTTGTTTAGGGGTTTATTTCGACTATGCAAATGACTCTGGTTAGTGAGAGGTATGGGCAATGGAAAATAGGTATCAGGCAGTGAAATTTGCAAATTTTTGATAGTTTTAGGTATTTTCTAGGTTCAATGAGTCTATTAGGCCTAGAAAATCACTAGGCAGATTTTGTTTAGGGGTTTATTTCGACTATGCAACTGGCTCAAGTTAGTGAGAGGTATGGGCAATGGAAAATAGGTATCAGGCAGTGAAATTTGCAAATTTGTGATAGTTTTAGGTATTTTCTAGGTTCAATGAGTCTATTAGGCCTAGAAAATCACTAGACAGATTTTGTTTAGGGATTTATTTCGACTATGCAACTGAATCAGGTTAGTGAGAGGCATGGGCAATGGAAAATAGGTATCAGGCACTGGAATTTGCAAATTTCTGATAATTTAACTTATTCTGTAACTTTACCAAGTCTACTAGACCTAGAAAACCCCTAGATAAATTGTGTGTTCCCATTTATCTCATCTTTGGAACTGACAACAGTCTTCTGCCTCCTTCATCCACAACATTCTCTCCCAAAACAAAACTCAAGTTACTTAACGAAGTTTCTACAAAGATTCTACACTATCCCAAAGAATATTCCTCACCAAAAATCCTCAAAGTATCCTTCCAGCGTACGATTCAATAACTATAACGCATCCTAGACCAAAATTAAAACTCAAAGCACCTCCAAACTAGGAAATTTGCTAATTTGTGATAGTTTCACTTATTCTGTAGCTTTACCAAGTCTACTAGACCTAGAAAACCCCTAGATAAATTGTGTGTTCCTATTTATTTCATCTTTGGACCTGACAACAGTCTTCTGCCTCCTTTATCCATGGTATCCCCATCTAAAACAAAAGAAAACTTAGGTTAATGAAATATATAGGTAAGGAAAAATAGGTATCAGGCCTTGGAATTTGCAAATTTGTGATACTTTTACTCGTTCTCTAATTTTATCAAGTCTATTGGACCTAGAAAATGAGGATCAGGCACTGAAATTTGCAAATTTGAGATGCTTTTACAGATTCTCTTCTTTTACCAAGTCTATTAGACCCAGAAAATAAGTATCGGGCCTTAAAATTTGCAAATTTGTGATACTTTGGCTCACTCTCTACTGTTACCAAGTGTATTAGACCTATAAAATAAGAATCAATCCTTAAATTTACTAATTTGTCATACTTTGACTCACTTTTTTCTTTTACCAAGTCTATTAGACCTAGAAAATGAGTATCAGGCACTGAAATTTGCAAATTTCTGATACTTTTACACATTCCCTTCATTTGCCAAGTCTATTAGACCTAGAAAATTAGTATCAGGCACTAAAATTTTCAAATTTGTAATACTTTTACACATTCTCTTCTTTTACCATGTCTATTAGACCTAGAAAATAAGTATCAAGCCTTAAAATTTGCAAAATTCTGATACTTTTACACACTCTCTCCTCTTACCAAGTCTACTAGCCCTAGAAAATAAGTATCATACCTTAAAATTTGCAACATTCTGATACTTTTACCCATTCCCTCCTCCTACCAAGTCTACGAGACCCAGAAAACAACCATCAGACACCGATCCTCCAAGGAAAACTTGATCTACCTACCCAATGGAACATCGTATCGTGAAATACTTCGTTATTAATTCCATCGTCTACCGTAAAACACAATTATTTAAGGAAGAGTGGGCTCGTTTGAGGAAGTGCCCGCCGGCATCTTGCCGCGGAAGAAGGAGGATCGATGAAAGGGGGAGAGATAGAGAGAAGGTAACCCGGCGTCCGCGTAATTAATGCGGCACGATTAAGCACGAAACGACTAGGTTCCGGCGGCGGCGGCAGATCGTGGCTGCGTTTTGTTTTAAAAGCCGCAACTCGGATGTTTAGCTCCCTGCTGGGGGCAATCCTGCTCACCGTGGGGGGTCCTGGCACCCGACCCCCCACACCCCATCACCTTTAAACTCCCCGTACGCCTAGCAACGACTTTGCATCTTCTGGCCCATCGTTCCCGACCCGTGGAACACACACGTTTCGGTCCCCTCCTCCTCCTTTCGAGACGGGGGACCAAAAAGAATCTCGTTATGCAATCCCTTCCTACGATTACCCCTCTTCCCCCGGGTTTTCAGATCGAAAAAGGGGGCCAGAAACTCCACGATCCTACGAGTCATCACAAAATGAGGCATGGAGGACTTGGGTTAGGTAGGGATTAGACGCTACTTTTGACTCTGGACTTTTGATATTACTGTTTCAGTATGTTCCAAGTGTTCCATCTTAAAATAATCCCCCAAAGTAACTGGATCCTGCTCAAAAAACTATAAACTCGAGACAAATTGCTTCTTGAAAAGTTCGATTGGAAGTCTGTTCGCGGTTAGCAGACGACCCATACGAGGTGTTGTTTGCCCAAACTTCGTCCATCTTTCCGGAAAACGACAGATGTTGCGGGGGTTGTCATTGCATCCTGTCACGAGACACGCGACAGAGATTCGAGTGGAACCGTGTGCCTCGAGACACGACACCGAGAATCGACCCAACAGAGGAGTCGACCGCGGAATTAAACTCCGGAGAAGTTAAAGAAACGAAGGGAAAAAGAACGGTCGTAGGGCGGGGGGTTGGGGGGGTTAGGACGAAATAAGGACAACAGGATGGGCGGTTGTGGAGTCGGAAAGGGGGGAAGAGAGCTTCCGTTGAACTGATTAGAGCTCGACTCTTCGGGGAACCTTCGCGATGGAATGCGCTCGGAACGATCGACGCATCACGGAAGATGTTTGTATCAAAACGTTCGATCGACGTTACTAGAAGTTCCCTGAATCAACCTGAACCGGATGCAGCCCGTTTTTAGTGCAGACAGAGAGATTCCTTCTGTTTTTTGGCAGGGGAAAACTGGGCCAAAGAGAATGCCCTAACGGTCTTGCGATGGCCACTATTTCGTTGGTGCTCCGCTCAGGTAGGAAGATGGGGCGACGGGAAACGAAAGAGAAAGGTAAGGGATCGGTGCCTGGCAGCGATCGTCGGTTTCCTTCCAGCGTCGGAAATATAATGATACACCGCGGGTTTCCTGAAAAAGGTAGAATGCGTCACTCTTAACCAGAATTCGCACTTCCATCGGCGCCCCAACGACTTCCAGCGAACGATACACTATTTGCTTTCCGACCCGGAATCGGATGAATAGGTTTCCCTGAAGCCGGACCTCGAAATCGATTCTGCAATCGTTCCTCGGGTTCCTCGACTTCGACTTCTTCGAACGAATCGACGCAACGACTCAGCCACCGTTCCGAAAATAGACATACGCAGGGGTAGGATCGGTTCTGCGCAGAGAGCGTTAGAATACCGTGTCTTAAATAGCTTCATACTTTAGTAAACTACTGTTATTTTAATTATTTTTCATTAATATTGTGATAGGTTAATCGTTTTCCTAACTTATCGACCGATAAAGGTAGGAAACTGTCAACACTTACCGACTGGTGACCCATTAATCGCTGACGGTCGGTAAAGTGTTAAAAAAAGTGTCTCTACATTGCCGACGGGTAGTGATTGATAGGTTACCGATCGGTAAAGTGTTGAAAAGGGTTTCTTGAGACTGTACCGGTAGCGATTAATGAGACAGCGGTCGGTAAAGTGTTGAAAAGGGTTTCTAGGACCTACACATCGAAATTTGGGGAATTTAAATTACTATTTGCTGCTCTGTTTCTAAACTTGCGTTGAGTGGAGCAAAATTGGACACTTTGGGTCACAGAGGTGGGGTTTAAGAGTCTCTAGAAACGTAAGGATCGACGAGCAGAGGGTCGAAAGGTTTAAAATTGATGCGTTGGTTGCAGGTCTGGTTTCAGAATCGTCGTGCAAAGTGGCGGAAACAGGAGAAGGTCGGGCCCCAGGCGCATCCGTACAATCCGTACTTGGGATCAGGTGCACCGCCGCCATCGGCGGTCGTAGCGCCGACCTTGCCGAACCCTTTCGCCCACCTGGGCACGTTTGCCCTGCGGAAACCCTTCGACACGTTTCGTTACCCACCTCTGGGTCACGGACCGGTCCTTCCTGGTAGTTACACCGCTCATCCCTATCATCGTGCACCGCCACCTTTGCTACCGCCCGGGATGCCTCTGCCTTACACGTCGGCCGCGTCCTTCCAGAGCCTATTGGCCAACATATCCGCGGCCCAGCGGCCGAAATTGGTGCGCGGCTCGCCCCCACCCCCGCCCCCGCCACCTCCAGCGCCAGCGATCAACCTGCCGCATCCTCCAGTTCCAGCGCCACCGCAGACCGCCAGCTCGCCCCAGGGATCGCCCACGGGCAGCGTCGGGCTCCCAGACATCGACAGAAGGACCAACAGCATCGCGTCACTGCGACTGAAGGCCAGGGAGTACGAGCTGCATCTCGAGATGCTGCGCAAAAACGGCGATCTCATCAGCTGAAGTGCCACCAGGGACGCCACAGGAACCCGGGTACGGATCCTAAAAAAAGGCTTTTCTATCGACCGGTGCCTGACTCCTTCCACGTCAAATTTGTCACGTTTTTTATGTTAACGCTAGCTCTACTAGTTGCAAACTTTATATTTCTGGGCGTAAAACGCGATAAATCCTGTGGGATAGCGACTTTTCATGGGGGTCAATAGCTGTATACGCATCGCAATTAGCACCTTTCTATGGTAGCTTACAATGTGACTTTGCTGGTGTAAATCTACTGTTAATTTCTGTGTACTTTACAAGCCTTTAGCGATTCTTTGAGAATCCTCGCTATTACCCTGACGAGTTTGAGACTTACCAATTTCTAACGAATTTTTACTAATTGCTGAAGGCTGCCATCTGTGGGGGACACTCGCGTGGAACGATCCAGGCTCCATCTCGCGGATAATCGTGGGCCTCACGTGACGATCTCTTTCCTGCAGTTTCCTCCGAACCCCCGAATCGAGTAACCCGACGGTAAGGAAGCTCAATCTGCTCGACACAGGCCACCAACGCGATCGTGGATCGCTGTGGATCGCGATCACGTACGTATCGTGCAAGATACGAGCCAAAGAACCGACCCAAGTGACGAGGACACTTTACGTTTTTACTGTACGCGAAGGAAGGTGACATCAATCCGTCGATCCTTCTTCCTGTGATCACTCGTGCCTTTGTTACGCGATCTTAATCTTTAGGAGACGTAGTTTCGAATCGCATAAGGGCGTGAAACGAATCCAACGACGATAATGGCTGCCCAAAGCTATTGGAAAGCGACTTATCGTCGCTCGATCGACGCCTGTTATGGCATTCGGATACTTTCGATTTATTCTAGGCCCTTTTTGCCTCGTGCAAATATCCCTTGCGATGATACACACTCGAGCAACGCGATACCAACGCACGATTTCGAGGGTCGCGCGTCTTCGTCGATCAACGCGAACTAACGTTTCGAAAAATGAACATTTAAATAAAATTCGTTTTTCGAATGATCGTCCGCGTTGTCGTTGCTTTTTCGCGCGGATCGCGACCCGCGGAACCGTCCAAACGAGACAGTTTTCACGACGTTCGTTCGGAGAAGAACGATATACCTGTCCACGTACAAACGAGTTTCAACGACCTCCCTCTCAAGATGTCACAGACGTAAGAACGCGAGACTGTATGGAAGTTTACAGTGTACCTGGCGAGACTAGGACCACGAATTTTTTTAAGAACGTCTTTAAAATCTCTATCTCGAGATCCGCGTTTCGCGTAAATTCGAATTTCCCGCGCGATCTCGATTTACGAAATCGCGAGCGATAGATTTCAAAGACGGTTCGGGATATTAAAGCCTGTAGCTCGCCACGTATTCAGCGATTCCAAAAGTAACTTTTTAAGCGAAACATCATCGAGAAAAGATGTCCGTCCAGAGTTCGAAGCCGCGACAAGGGGGGAGATTTTAACCGCGAAAAAAAATGTATTTTAAAGTTCGAGAAACGTCGGAAGGTGTTGTTTTTTATTCAAATTTTCCCCCCTTCGCGACTTGGAGCGTTTCGATAGCCTGTAATTTGTTTACTTTTTACAAGAAACCGTCGCACAATTCTTTTTTTTTTCTTTTTTTTTCTTAGATAAGATAAACAAAATGTACTATTTATATACGCGTTCTTTAATCTAAAAAATATTCAAACGATAAGTTTTACGACTGTATAAGCATTTCTAGCGTGTAAGTTGCCTCTGTAAATAATTTAACGACGCGTGCGAGAGAACTATTGCGAAGAGACCTCGCGATTATTTGCCCCTCCCCTCCCCTCCCCGCCGTGGAAACGATTTTTTTTTTTGGATAAAATCAATCAGAGGATCTCGAACGTGCGAACGTGTCCACATTGTACTTAATCCTTATTAACCCTTTTGCCCCTCGTTTTTCATCTGCGACGAATAAATGACAACAACAAGAGAGAAAATAAAATAAATGAAAGAGGGTAACGAGAACAAAAAAAAAAAAAGAAAATATGAAAAGAAAAAACAGTGTACACGGTGTGTTATTTATTCAGCGCCGTACCTTTTCTCTATCGATTAGCTCGGCGATTAATAAACGAGCAACACGGGTGTATTAATTTACAGGCTCGTCAGCTCCGTTCCGAACGAAAACGCGCCATTACCGTCGCCACATACATTATAAACTCGAAGGAGTCTCTGAAGGGGGATTCCAAGTCGTACGGGGAGTGACTTATGACAAGTAATTCGCGCCCGGGCACGCCCGTCGACGAGTTATTTAAATATTTTACAGTTTAATGGAGTCCCGGGCCATTAATGCGCGTCAGCTAATTAGCGGCGCGGTGAATACCTGCGCCGATCCCCGAGTGCTAACGATCTTGAGGCTGATAAATCGAACGGTCGCCCCGGCGAAACGATCGGAGCTGACGTTGTCTTAACTGCATCGATATGCACTAGAAAGTGCACTGATCGAGAATCGCGACCTATTCGTCGCTAGATATTTAATGGCGATTTTCTGGGTTACCTGGCGCCATCTTGACGCGATGTAATTGTTTTGAATAATTGTTTCGTGGTTGCTTTGTGTTTTAAAAATGTTTAGTTTCAATCAGGATTTTAAAGTTAATTTGGAATTATTTGTGGCGCCATCTGGTGGTGCCACCTCGTTTTTTCAAAGGATCATTTTCAGGTTATTTTGTTTTTTTTAAATATTGTTTCTTTTCTATGAGGGTTACAGAGTTTGAGATTATTTGAGAATTTGGAATATAGTTATATAGGAGTCATTGCGATTTAATAATGACATCTTTTGATACTTGACGCGATCTTGATGCGATCTAATTATTTTTAATAATTCTTTCACGGTTGCTTTGTATTTGAAAACGTTTAGTTTCTATCAGGATTTTAAAATTAACTTGGAATTAATTGTGACGCCATCTGGTGTCGCCACCTCGGTATTTTAAACGATCATTTTGGGGTTATTTTGTTTTTTGAAAATATTGTTTCCTTTCTATGATGGTTAGAAAGTTTGAGATTCATTGAGAATTTGAAATATTGTTAAATACGAGTCATTGCAATTTAATAATGACATCTTTCGATGCTTGACGCCATCTTGACGCGATGTAATTGTTTTGAATAATTCTTTCGCGGTTACTTTGTGTTTTGAAAACGTTTAGTTTCTATCAAGATTTTAAAGTTAATTTGGAATTAATTGTGACGCCATCTGGTGTCGCCACCTCGGTATTTTAAACGATCATTTTGGGGTTATTTTGTTTTTTGAAAATATTGTTTCCTTTCTATGATGGTTAGAAAGTTTGAGATTCATTGAGAATTTGAAATATTGTTAAATACGAGTCATTGCAATTTAATAATGACATCTTTCGATGCTTGACGCCATCTTGACGCGATGTAATTGTTTTGAATAATTCTTTCGCGGTTACTTTGTGTTTTGAAAACGTTTAGTTTCTATCAAGATTTTAAAGTTAATTTGGAATTAATTGTGACGCCATCTGGTGTCGCCACCTCGGTATTTTAAACGATCATTTTGGGGTTATTTTGTTTTTTGAAAATATTGTTTCCTTTCTATGATGGTTAGAAAGTTTGAGATTAATTGAGAATTTGAAATATAGTTAAATACGAGTCATTGTAATTTAATAATGACATCTTTCGATGCTTGACGCCATCTTGACGCGATGTAATTGTTTTGAATAATTCTTTCGCGGTTGCTTTGTGTTTTAAAAACGTTTAGTTTCTAACAGGATTTTAAAATTAATTTGGAATTAATTGTGGCGCCACCTGGTGGTGCCACCTCGTTATTTCAAACGATCATTTTGAGGTTATTTCGTTTTTTAAAAATATTATTTCCTTTCTATCAGGATTCCAAAGTTTGAAATTGATTAAAAATTTCAAATACAGTTAAATACAAGTCATTGCGATTTAATAATGACATCTTTCGATACTTGACGCCATCTTGACGCGATCTAATTATTTCAAAAAATAATTTTGAGGTTATTTCGTTCTTTAAAAATATTTTTTATGTATCAGGATTCTAAAAATGAGATTGAAATTAATTGAGAATTTGAAATATAGTTAAATACGAGTCATCGCGATTTAATAATGACATCTTCCGATACCTAACGCCATCTGGTGACTCCACCTCATTATTTCAAACGATCATTTCGAGGTTATTTCGTTTTTTAAAAATATTATTTCCTTTCTATGAGAGTTATAAAATTTGAAATTAAGTGAGAATTTGAAATATAGTTAAATATGAGTCATCGCGATTTAATAATGACATCTTCCCAGCTGCCTGACGTCGTCTTGATGCGATCTAATTATTTTAAATAATTCTTCCACGATTATTTCGTTTTTTTAAAATATTCTCTTTGTATTAGGATTTTAAAAAAGTGATTGAAATTAATTGTGAATTTGAAATATAGTTAAATACGATTCATCGCGATTTAATAATGAGATCTTTCGATATCTAACGCCATCTGGTGTCGCCACCTCATTATTTCAAACGATTATTTTGAAGTTATTTCGTTTTTTAAAAATATTATTTCCTTTCTATCAGGATTCCAAAGTTTGAAATTGATTGAAAATTTCAAATACAGTTAAATACAAGTCCTTGGAACCAAGTCAACGCGATTTAATAACGATTCTATCTTGAAGTCGCAATCTAATTATTCCAAATTATTATTTAGCAACTATTTTGTTTTTTTAAAACATCGTTTCCTTTTTCTATCACGATTCTAAAAATAAGCTTGAAATTAATTGATAATTTGAAATATAGTTAAATATAGTTAATTCTTCCCGGAGCTCTCGACGTAAACTATTATTATTTTTATTATACCAATACAATCAAAATAAGATTGCAAATGTGATTTTAATACCAATTAAGTAAAATTTCTGAATGATAGCCCTATTAAAAATATCCAAGGTAACACAATAAACACTCTATTAACATTACATTTCTTACAAACAAATAAACCAATATTGTCCAAAATCCCAATAAAACAATTTCAAAAAAAAACCTGTAAAATAATTTCTAGCTTATATTTCCAAATACAATCTCTTTTTCCCTTTTCAAAATTACCTTCATAACCTCATTTCGACTATCCCCTTCCACCTACTATCGTTCCCCAATAAAACTCTCCGTTCATTAAACAAATAAACAAATAAACAAATAAATAAATATAAACAAAATCCATCCAGTTCCGGTTGATCGATCGATAGACGATAAAACACAGTTCGAGAGCGTTGGGCAACAGTGCACGTGCGCGCGATAATTCGAGAGTCGACAGTAATCGATAAAAATTCTCGCTGCGAGAGCGTTCGAGGCACCGGGGGCGGCGAACGATACGAGAAGGAACGAGAGAGACGAGGAACGGGCGGAGGCGTGTCTCGAAGGTGATCGATCCTCGATCGTTGCGGGGCCCGCGTGGGTCCCCGGGTGTTCGGGGCGCGATGATCGAGATGCAGACCACGCAGCGGCTCGATCCCGAATTCATCGTGTTGGCCTGGCCATTAGCAAATTACTACGGTGTAAACAGTATCGACGTTGCCCCCGGGGCACGTCGGGCCCAAGTGCATCGATCTATGCATACGTGGATGTTTATACATCGGTGCGGATAGAGGGGGGGAGGTGGAGAGGGGGAGCCAGTTAGTTAGTAACCGATCATTATGGCGACGTTTTACACCGGCTCTAGCCACCTAATAACTGTCTACATCGGAATGAATTTAGCGATCGGTAGCGGGCCAGGGCCACGGAACCGGCTGTGGTTCGGTAAAAGAACTCTGGGCAAAAAGAACCGTCTGCTCCCGAAACGGCTGATTCCGTACAGATTCCCCAGGGCGATGTTTAAGAAGAGATAAATTACCGGACTCGGCGTGCAACGATACGGAGTTATTGCGGGGATTTTTGGGTCGATTCTGAACGAAGACAGTTCCATTGAGGAGAATACAGGAGATGATGGAATTCTTTGCTTGGGTGACTACATGTCGGATTGTTGTTTATTGACGAGACAATATTAAGTAGTAGAATTGTTGTAATGTTGGTATGGATATGGAGATAGTGATATGGACTCGTGGAACGAATCGTAAAAGGAAATATGTGGAAATTTTGATATTGTTTTCAGTGAACTGTTTCAAAGAATGTTGAAGAGGAACATGTTTGACTAGGTTTGACAAGGTTTGAGGGTGTTTGCCAGTCTTTCACTGTGTTTGACTATGTTTGCGTAGATTGATACTGATGAAGATGGGAAAATATTGTTATTGCTTGACTGGGTTTGAGTATGTTTGACTGTGTTTAATTGTGTTTGACTAGGTTGGACTATGTTTGAATAGATTCGACTAGGTTTGACTGGGTTTGACTGTGTTTGACTGTGTTTCACTATATTTCACGATATTTACCAATGTTTCGCGATGTTTCATGATGTTTCACGATGTTTCACGATGTTTCACGATATTTCACGATGTTTCACGATGTTTCACGATGTTTCACGATGTTTACATACATTAATACTGACGAAGACGAGAAAATATTGCTATTGCTTGACTAGGTTTGACTATGTTTGACTGTGTTTAATTGTGTTTGACTAGGTTTCACTATGTTTCACGATGTTTTACTATGTTTCACGATGTTTCTCAATGTTTCACGATGTTTATGTGCACTAATACTAATGGAGACGAGAAAATATTGTTATTGCTTGACTAGGTTTGACTATGTTTGACTGTGTTTGAGTGTGTTTGACTAGATTTGACTAGGTTTGACTATGTTTGACTGTGTTTGACTATGTTTCGCAATGTTTCATGATGTTTCACGATGTTTTACTATGTTTCACGATGTTTCTCAATGTTTCACGATGTTTATGTGCACTAATACTAATGGAGACGAGAAAATATTGTTATGGCTTGACTAGGTTTGACTATGTTTGACTGTGTTTGATTGTGTTTGACTAGGTT